CTGGAATTACAGGCATGAGCCACCACGCCCAGCAGGAGAGTTTCTCAGCTGTGAACACGTTCATTAATGGGAATGCTCAGTTTGTGCTGATACTCCCGACACCAACGACTAAAGAGAAAACGATTCCAAGGGAATCCGGTCATCGTTAACCAAGCTAGAGGAGAGACACAGAAGGGCGAATGGAGGTAGATTCTCATTAGGAAGGAAATTCTCCATAGTGGGGGAAATTCTCATTAACATGAAAATGTCTTTTCCAAGGTCTCTGACTCTTTTCAGCTGCTGGGTTGAGCTGGAGAATTGGGCCAAAGTGCTCCTGCATCTTCTCTCCAAACGTAAACTTCCGCTCTGCAGCTTCCTTTCTTCTTCTGAGATATGGCTCAACAAATGCACACAACATTTGTGCTCATAAACCCAATGCAGAGCTTTTGGAATGTCAGGCCATTATATCCACGTCACTCCTTAATTTTCATGGTTGGCCAAACAGACAAACCAAGTTAAGGCCATTTGAAGACAAATAAATTGATCCATTGGATTTATATATCCTGGAGGTGCTGCCAGAGAATGTCCAGGCCAGAGAGAAAGCAATTGTTAAGTGCTCAGTGGAGAAAAACAACCAATCTTTTATACTATGTAATAATCATTTCCCAGTGATGAAGACAATGATAAAATGGATCCTTTAAAAAAAAAAAAAAGCAGCCAGCAGTCAATGAAATAAAGTGTGAAAAGGAGAAACTTCCTATATTCTTTCATGGAGCTTTTTTCTCTCCTAATACCAGGAGCACAAACACAAAAGGGCCAGCTTCATGAAATACATAAGCTCTTTAAGTTCACTTGGAGATGAACTGTGATGGCCAAAATTCTCTATTCCCTCTGACATTGACATTCATCGTTCATCCACAGCATAGACTTGGTCAAATCGCCACTGCTGGCGGGCTTTCCCATCACACTGACGCAAGTACAAGTCTTTATTGTTTTCTTGCACCACAGCTTCCATGCATTTCCCAGAAAGAATGTGGACAATCATCCCATTCTAAAAAGACAAAAGAAAAAAGAAAAGAAAGCCAATCCCCCACAATCAGTCAATAAAGAGAATATTTTTAAGATTTGCGCTAATCATTAAGAGAATAACAGGTAGTGTGAACTGGCCTGGAAAGGAATTGTGATATTTTGATTAACATAAAATATGATTTAGGTAGTCCTAAAATTTGGATGTCACTCAAAATCTTAGGGGTAACTAATTCAATTATCTTTATTGTAGTTGTGTAGTTGTGCCATTTCTTAGAAAGTTCTGGTTAGTATAATTCCCAGAGCACGTTGGGTCTTTACACTGCATTTGTGACATTCATTGTTATCACTGTACTTGTAAATCTGCTTTCTAAACTATTTAATTCACTTTACCTCCTGTTAATCCTGCAATTGGGCATGGTTGTTACCAGGCTGTAGTAGTGAGCAAGACATCTAGGATATATTGAAGACCTAAACCGGTCATGTTCAGAAGGCTATGGCTATTCCCTGCTCAAAATCACCAGATTTAACATTGAATCCAATCTTCTCCTTTTCAAGAAAAATTTAATTTCTTTATGAAAAGTTAAATAACCTTAACCAGCAATTCTGAAAATGCCTATTTATTTATTCATCATTCATTTATTAATTTTTGAGATTGGTATGGTTTGGCTCTGTGTCTCTACCCAAATCTCATGTTGAATTGTAATTCCCAGCGTTGGAGGAGGGGCCTGGCGGGAGGTGATTGAATCATGAAGGCAGACATCCCCCTGGCTGTTCTTATCATAGAGTTCTCACAAGATCTGGTTGTTTGAAAGTGTGTAGCACCTCCTCCTTCATTCTCTCTCCCCTGCTCCGCCATGTGAAAATGGGGCTTTCTTCCTCTTCCCCTTCTGCCATGATTGTAAGTTTCCTGAGGCCTACCCAGCCATGCTTCCTGTACAGCTTGCAGAACTGTGAGTCAATTAAACCTCTTTTCTTCATAAATTACTCAGTCTCAGGTATATCTTTATAGCAGTATGAGAACAGACTAATATAGAGATCATAATATTACCCCTTTAAAGTACACAAGTATTCACAAAGCTGTGCAATCTTTGCTATCTAATTGCAGAATATCTGCATCACTGTAAAAGGAAACCCTCCACCCATCAGCAGTCACTCCCATTCCTCCATCCTCCCAGTGACTAATCACTACTCTACTTTCTGTATTTATGGATTTTCCTATTTTGGACATTTCATATAAATGAAACTATGTAAATGTGGCCTTTTGTAATTGGCTTCTTTCACTTTGTGTAATTTTTTCCCCCAAGACAGGGTTTTGCTCTGTCTCCCGGGCTGGAGTGCAGTGGCACAATCTCAGCTCACAGCAACCTCCATCTCCCCGGTTCAAGTGATTCTCCTGCCTCAGCCTCCCGAGTAGCTGGGATTACAGGAACATGCCACCACGCCCACTTTTTTGTATTTTTAGTAGAGATGGGTTTTCACCATGTTGGCCAGACTGGTCTCAAACTCCTGACCTCAAGTGATCCACCCATATCTGCCTCCCAAAGTGTTGGGCACTATGTGTAATATTTTTAAGGTTCATCCACATTGTACCACACACATTTCTTTTTCTTTCTTTCTCTATTTATTTTTATTTTTTATTTTTTTGAGACAAAGTCTTGCTCTGTTGCCCAGGTTGGAGTGCAGTGGGCAATAGATCTCTACTCACTACAACCTTCACCTCCCAGGTTCAAGTGATTCTCCTGCCTCACCCTCCCGAGTAGCTGGGACTACAGGTGCATGCCACCATGCCTGGCTAGTTTTTGTATTTTTAGTAGACATGGTGTTTCACCATATTGGCCAGGCTGGTCTCGAACTCCTAACCTCGTGATCTACCCACCTCCGCCTCCCAAAGTGTTGGGATTACAAGCATGAGCCACTACACCCAGATTTAAAAAAAAAAATTGTGATAAAAACACATGTCAAAACTTTTACCATCTTAGGCATTTTTAAGTATAAAGTTCAGTAGTTGATACAGTTTGGATTTTAGTCCCCACCTAAATCTCCCGTTGGATTGTAATCACCAGTGCTGGGGGTAGGGCTGGTGGGGGATGTTTGATCATGGGGACAGATTCCTCACGGCTTGGTGCTTTGTGATGGTGAGTTCTTAGGATCTGGTCATTTAAAAGCATGCGGCACCCCCTCCCCCACTCTCTTCCTCTTGTTCCTGCTTTTACCGTGTGATATGCCTGCTCCCACTTCATCTTCTGCCGTGAGTAAAAGCGCTCTGAGACCTCCCCAGAAGCAGAAGCCACTATGCTTCCTGTACAGTCTGTAGAACCATGAGCCGAGCCAATTAAACCTCTTTGCATATAAATTACCCAGTTTCAAGTATTTCTTTATAGCAATCCAAGAATGACCTAATAGGCCTGGTAAGGTGGCTCACACTTGTAATCCCAGCACTTTGGGAGGCCAAGGCAGGTGGCTCACCTGAGATCAGGAGTTCCAGACCAGACTGGCCAACATGGTGAAATCCCATCTCTACTAAAAATACAAAATTAGCTGGGCATAATGGCCGGTGCCTCTAATCTCAGCTACTCAGGAGGCTAAGGCAGGGGAATCGCTTGAACCCAGGAGGCAGAGGTTGCAGTGAGCCAAGATTGTACCAATGAACTCCAGCCTGGGCAACAAGAGCAAAACTCCATTAAAAAAAAAAAAAAGAATGTTAATCTAGTGTTAAATATATTTACATTGTTATGAAACAGATACCCAGACTTTTTCATCTTGTAAAACTGAAACTCTACACTCATTAATAAACAAATTCCCTCTTTCTCCTCCCCTGCCTGCCCCTAGTAACCAGTATTTTAGTTTCTGTTTCTATTAATTTGACTATTTTAGATATCTCATATTAGTGGAATTATACAGTGTTTGTCCTTTTGTGACTGGCTTATTTCACCAGCTTAATGTCCTCAAGATATGCCCATGTTGTAGCAGGTGATGGGATTTTCTTCCTTTTTCAGGCTGAATAATATGTCTATAATACCACATCTTGTTATCTCTTCATCTATGATGGACATCTGCGTTGCTTTTACTTCTTGGCTCTTGTAAACAGTGCCACCATGAATAGTACCTCATTCCTTTTTCTGGCTGAATGATAGTAACTTTTAAAAGTATTATTTATTAATGCCTGAAATAAGCTGGGTGTATCTTACCCCCCAATCTTTTACTTATTATTTTTAAATGCTGTTTCTAAAGCATGTCTTATTAATAGGACTTGCTTAGAAAAATCCTTTAAGATAATATACAAAGGACCTTAACTTGGCTTATAAGACTTCTTTGAGACCAGGCACCGTGGCTCACGCCTGCAATCCCAGCACTTTGGGAGGCCGAGGCAGGTGGGTCACCTGAGCTCAGGAGTTCAAGACCAATGTGGCCAACATGGTAAAACCCTGTCTCTACAAAAAATACAAAAATTAGCCAGGCACAGTGGCTCACACCTGCAATCCCAGCTACTCAGGAGGCTGAGGCATAAGAATTGCTTGAACCCAGGAGGCGGAGGTTGCAGTGAGCTGAGATTGCACCACAGCACTCCAGCCTGGCTAACAGAGTGACACTCTGTCTCAAAAAAAAAAAGACTTCTTTGAGCACGTGTGGGTCCCTTGAGTCCTGTCTTCAGCTGATCACCAAAGCCCCAAGTGTTTTGTTCTCAAGTGCTTATTGTGAGCTTAGCTTCAGTTTTCTGTTGGATGATTTTCTTCTTTCACAGCCTGCTTTAAGAGTACCAATGCAAAGGATTCCGCTTAGTCATTTTATCCTTTTTATTCCCAGGTGGAAGCTGAAGAAAAGACTCTTTTAAAATATGTGTATTTATTTGTTTGTATGTTAATACCCCAGCTCATTTCAGGAAGAATTTGAAGTGGAGAAAAAGCTGTGTGTGGACACAGTGTTGATAGTGTCATCTACCCATCCCGGTTCTGTATATGGGACCTGTTCCCTCTCCCTAAGCACTGACATTGTTTCTATTTCCTCCCTAACTTCTAGAAAGGATCTATAGTTTCTTTCCGCCAGGGTAATAGGGGTCAAAATTTTACTAAAATGATTAAATGCTGACAGTGGAATTTGCATTAAAAGGAAGAAAGTGATATCTATATATCTATATATTTACATCTACATCTACATCTGAAGTTTCTTGATGGGGGGAGGAACTTTGAATTGCTCCTAAACCACACCCCCAAGGTGGCTGAACGCTTCTGTAACATGCCTCACCATCCCACCTGTGAACTGAGCTAATGAACTTCAAAAAGAGGTGGATCCCTCTCTCTGCAATGACCAGTGTCAGAGCTACACAGAGACATGTAGCTCACAAATCGTTACATTTGAAGATGCCAATGGCCCAACTTTTCTGCTGGGTTGGTTGCCTTTTCCTCCCCCTGAGGACTTACTGCCCATCCACTAAGTTCAAAAGCAGAGGCAGAGGTCTGTAACACCTGACCTCTTGGAAGAGGCCAGGATGCAGTGCCAACCAGCAGTTCCTTCCGACCAGCAGCACCACCAGGCTCTTCCTGAACAGATTACTCACCTCCTGGAAGTCCCAGTGCTGCTGGTGGATGGTCAGGCCTTCCTCCGTGCAGTTCTGAAGAATTACCTGCTCCTGCCTGACAGCGAAGCACAGGTGCTGTGGGCTGCCAAAGTGGATCTCCTTCCTGCTGGTGTGCTGCAGGTACTGACAGAAGCAATGGTTGTTAGCGCAGCTAGAAAGAGATCTCTCCAACGCTGTTGAGTAGAGAAGGATCCACAACAGAGCTGAGGTCTAGGGGCAATCTTCAGATTCTGTTGAGGTCAGCAAGACCGTATCTCATGGTGACGTCCAAAAACATGCTGCTAGACTAGTCCTGGCCTCTGAAGTCCCCACATTCCGGCTGTTCTCACATTTATATTTACATATTCTGTCATGCTCCTCTGTTATTCTATGTACTGTATCATAGGCGAGGCCATAAAAAGTGCTCTGTGTTTTGTTGGTATACTGTTGAGAGCACAGATGAGGAAGCCCAGGCGTCTTTCTGGAGAGCCCTGGCCCGCTCCTGGAACTAAGTTTCCTGCCGTTTGTTGTATTGGCTGGCCCTTGCTCATGGGTATTGTTTCCTCCAGCGTTTTGCAGTGTTGCATTGTGCAACCTCTGAGAGGGGCTTTATCTGTGAGGGCCTGTGAGGATTAATTGGAAGCCGTGTCCTTGCGGGACTATTTTCTGTTTGTTTCTGTCAATGCAGCCTGAACTCATATTTATGTTAATTTTGTGGCTTACAGATAGGATCAGCTTCATGGGTATGTGACCTGTGTGGTCACATGGGGCCTCATGCTTAGACGGGTTTAATACTCTTGGACTCTTGGTTTAATAAACTTGGTTTAATGTTCTGCTGTCGCTGTCTTGAAATTCTTAATAATTGTCAAATTCAAGACTACACTGTCACCTTGCACTGGGCCCTGCAATTAGATAGCCTGTCCTGCTTGAGGATTCCCGAACTACACAATTAGCACACATGTGAACCTAAGCCCATATTAGATGCACGCTTATGGTTAAAAATTCTCAGGGGAGAGTAATTTGTTTCCTACCCAAAGCCCCTGTAGGAACAAGCTTCTTGCCATTTTCCAATGGCAGGGGGTGGGTATTTCTAGTCAAACTTTTCAAGGACAGGTTACCCTTTGAAGGTCAAAGCTGGCTTGCTATGGGAGTTTCATTTCCGACTTCTCATCTCTCATGGGCTGAAGCCGGGTTCTCGTCACCTATCCTTGCATGGAGCCAACACCCGTAGATTCCTGGGGTTGACAGTAACTATCCCCTCACACATGGTAGGGCAGCTTTGCCCATGCCCGATTCCTCTACTTTCAGTTACCTCTTGTTATCCGACCCTTAGGATAAACTCATTTATTCATGAAAAAGGGTGTGTTATATTTTTTTATCCAGCATATCTTATCTAGGTGTTTATGGGGAAGGGCTTTCAACTTACCTAATTTACAATATTGCAGGATCCTAAAGTTCTTACTATTAAAAAAGAAAGGAACAAAAAAGCTAATATTCATTTTGCATGAAGGAAGCTGTATTGTTGTTTTGTTTCTTTATTTTTTAATTCTTCTTTTTCAAACTCGGAATAATCTCTGTAAAGGCTACATTATTCTTAATTGCAGACGAGGAAACCAAGATTTAAAGCCCGCCAAGATCACACAGCTAGAAAACAAAGGAGCTCAGATTCACACCGAGCTATGTCTGACTGCAAAGCTTGATCAGTTTTCACCCTACCATGTGGCTTCCTCACCCAGCACTTGATGTTTATGTCTGCCTCCCTTGTGCCAGGTGTGAATGCCTATCGGTATGTCCTAGGAGACTGGCAAAGGGCAGAGCCAGAGGAGGCCAGATGGATCCTGAGCATCACCCTCCCACATGTCCTATAAGCCCAGAGCCTGTCCCCAGGACCCCAGGGCCTGCACTGCCAAGCCCAGCGTCATCCAGCCCCACACCACAGACCCTCAGAGAGATGCTGTCTTTTGCCCCCAGGATCTTTGATTCTTCCAGTGAATATCTCCAGGAAATTATACTTTGATGTTTGTTTTTATTAGGGGCCTTTGGGATGTGATAACTGAACAATCCCCATCACAACCTGAAACAGGCTAGGTTTTCTAGGTTGTCATCTAGTTGTGAAAAGAAGTGGACCTACCTGCCCTCAGCTAGCATCAGTGGAAGATTTCTACCACTTGGGCAGTTTTTCTATGACGGAAATTTTGAAGAGAAGAATTACTCCTAAGATATAAGGAGGCCTTCCTAATGACCAAATGGTGCTGGAGGCTGGAATGACCCTGTTGCATCTAGATCCTGATTTGATTACCTTCTTCCTCAGTCCTCGGACAATTGAAACCTGCCTGAACCCCGGATGCTTCTGAGTTTGCAACCCCTGGGCTCGTGACTCTAAGTCTCAGTTTTCTCATCTGTCAAATGAAAAGTTTGGCCAAACAGCCTCTCCATTTCCCTTCAACTAAGATGCTTTTATTTTCTGACGAAGGCCCGTGTCTGTGCTTACAGATGGAGGTGAGGTGAGCAAAGCTGTGATGGGTCATTACAGTGGGGGACCATGGCAGTCAAGGGACATGGGACCACAGAAAGAAGACACCTCAAAGGGAATTACAGAGCATCCCAGAAAAACATCACCCACTTGCAAGTCTTCTTGAGCTATCATCCATCCTGAGAAATCTGACTACCCACCTGTTGCTGCCGACTGTCATTGCAAGGAGCCAACATCATGGGACAGCCCAGGATGTCCCCTTCTGCCTGGCAGTCTGCACAGAACCCAAGTCCAGTGTTGTGGAGCTGAAAGTGGACACCCACACAGAAGTGAATTCCAAATCCCACTGTAAAGATACCCTGGTCAGACACCATTCCTTTCCTGTATTCTCTGGAGTACAGCCCAAGGTGCATTGTTCAGGCCACAACAATGGGTGGGTCAAACTGAAGCTACTGACTCTAAGGGACAGGCCTCCTGAAGGAGGGGCTTTGGAGTGGGTTATGGGATAAAACCCAGCTACCGTCCTCAGACTGTCATAAAGGCAGGGGATGGGCCCAAGGCCTCTGAGGCTCTGCTAAGCTGTGAGTGGTTGGCCAGGGACATGGAACAGCTGAACATCTACTTCTTGTCTTGGGAAGCTTCCCTCTCCCTTCCCCGCTCCTCATCTTCCCTGGGTCATGTCTTGCCTTTCCAGAGAATCTGGGCCTGGGTTCAGATGGGTACAGCTCAGGGTAGATGTTAGCCAGAAACCAGTGGAATGTCCGACAACCCAGTCTCCTTTGCAGCTGCAAGCGTTCCATGCAGTCTGGTTTCTCAGCCTGGGGAGGAGAAAGACACAGCAGGAGGATGAAAGCTTGTCTTGCCCAGAATTCTCATGGTTGGGGATGGGGTGGCTGGGAAGAAGCTGAAGGATCAGGACAGAAGGAAGAGGCCAAGACCACAGTTCTCCAGGGCTGCAGTGGGGAGGGTCATGTGTTGGGAGAAGAAGGTTTGGAAGGGACAGAATAGCATAGATCTTCCCTAAGAGAGTTGTGGAACCAGTAAGACTGTAAGTGATACCAGCCTCTTCCCACAACCCCTCGAATCCCCAGGCTATAAAGGCTATCATAGGCCAGGTGTGGTGGCTCATGCCTCCAGCACTTTGGAAGGCCAAGGCGGGTGGATCACTTGAGGTCAGGAGTTCAAGACCAGCCCAACATGGTGAAACCCCATCTCTACTAAAAATACAAAAAATTAACCATGCGTGATGGTGTGTGCCGTAATCCCAGCTACTTGGGAGGCTGAGACAGGAGAATCGCTTGAACCCAGGAGGCAGAGGCTGCAGTAAGCTGAGATTACACCACTGCACTCCAGTCTGGGCGACAGAGCAAGACTCCGTCTCAACAACAAAAAAGAGACTATGATATCTTTGCTTTAATGACTTTTCTGCAGAAGCTGGCAAAATTGTGGGGCTTTGCACCTAGGTTGGTGTAAGGAGAAACTACGATGGGCTTCATGGAGGCAGGAACTGACCCATAGGCAATTGAGATGAAGTTGGTTAGGAGATCATGGGCTAGGGGTTGGGGCAAGGCAAGTTTATCTTTCTTCACCTCTGGGTACCGTTAATGAATCATTCTTTTGGACTACACTATCCCCTCTTTTTGAGATTCTCCTTTATGATACAATTGTCCTAGGATGAAGATCAAGGCAAATCCCTAACGCTAGGACACATTAATGTTTTTGGCTCTATTGATGATACAAAGAACCGTACCCGAAAGTTTAGTACCAAATCTTGGATACTTTTAGGGAAGAGAGCAGTGACAAGGGTGGGTTGGAAAGAACACAGACAAAAACAGAGAGAACCCTTTCCTGGCATGAGGCGAGGAAGCAAGCTGGCTGTGTCAGAGTTCCCACTGATGGAACTCCGTTAGATTGATCCTCTAATCTGACAATAACACACAGGGTTCACCAGGCTGTGTGAAGTACGCTTGGTTTGGTTCTGCTTTCTCTCCCTTTTAGTCCTCAGCTGGAGATGCGGTAAGTCTGCCGTACTGAAATTCTCTCTAGATACTTCTCAAAGTATGATTCCCTGAGCATCTGCCTGACAAATGCCCATGGAGCTTGTTTAAAATGTAGATTCCTGGGCTCCGCCCCCAGAGACTATATATATATTGTATATATTCACAGCACTTCTAATTGCACCAACAAATGTGGGAAGGAGGCTGGAGTTCTGTAAATAATTTGCATGCTGTTGCATTAGGCTGGCCACAGCCAACATGCCGTGTCCTAATGAGCCTGTCTGGTGGAAAGTTAGTCTGGTGCATCAAAAATTATGCAATATTTAACACTTCCTTAATAGTTCTTTATAAACGCAGTCCGTGCCAATGTTAAGAAAATGGCCTCTGAAAGCAAAGCTAATACTAAATTGACATCCCAAGAGAGAAAAATAGATGCTTTGGCCAAAAGGAACCCAAGAGATTAAAAAACTGGAGAAGCTCTGTGGACCTCTACAGAACTCTGTAGAAGGCCACTTGCGCCCCAGTGCCAACTGAATAAAGTCTAAACTCTTTAGCCTGACCCTCAGCTGCTCCAGAGTCTTCCCCCAACCCCTCCTCTGGATGTCTGAGCTGAACCCATTCAGCCACTCTTCAGATGTGACCTCCCCTGAAAAGATGTCTGTCATGAGCCTGTCTAGGATGAATCACTCTCACCTTTGCAAACATTATCTCTTCCAGAGGAGCTCCTTCCCCACCAGGAACCTGATAAGCTTTGGGTATGGTTCTGTGTCCCCTGCAGGACCCACCCAGGGCCTGGCACAGAGCAGGCGCTTGGTTGACCTTTGTTGACCATTAGTAGCCATGAAGATAATGATGGCATGAATAGTAAACACACAAGCAGGGCTTACTCAGTGCCAGGCACTCTTCCAAGTGCTGTGGATTTATTAACATATTTGTTCATCCTAACAACAGAAGGAAGGCTTAACAAAAGAGGAAGCAGGAACACTGAGTGTTGAAGTAACTATCTAGATCATATAAGCAATACTTAAACCCAGACCATCTTGTTCTTGGAGTCCATGGGCTTAACCATCAGACAATATAGCTTCTAGATTGGTGTCTAGAATTGGACACATGCTTCCACTTCCCACAGAGGGAGACGGAGAAGGAGACTAAAGAAGAACAAAGATGCTAGCTAGTCACTGAGCTGGGTCTTTGTGAGAGTTTTCCTTTCAATCCCAGTGGCTTCCTGGAGGAACGAAGGAGGCTGCTGTCAGTAGCATTTCTTCTGTACCAGGAAAGGAGCCAGTGCCTCTCCATGTAATAGTGTGACTAATCGACAGGGTCCAAGAGAGACTCTAGCCTGCCTAGACCTTGGGAATTACTGTTGAGCCCAGGGACTCTGAGTGCTATTAACACTTTCTCCAGCTAAAGAAACAAAGAACCTTGAAATTCAAGGAGCCCCAACACACCTCAGACCCTAGAGGCTATTCCCACTTAGGGAAGGGGTTGGATGTAGAATAGGGAGGAAGCAGAGCCCTGAGGACCAGGGCAGAAGGGGAGGCGCTGGGGCTGCTCTGCGGGGCTTCTCTGTCAGGCTGGCCCTGCACTCAGGCATGTCTTTCCACTTAAAGGGCCTAGACTTCATCTGCGGCACACAAACTCACACCTAGCTCACACCGAACTCACACCTAGCTCACACCTAACACACCTAACTCACACCTAGCTCACACTGAACTCACACCTAGCTCACACCTAACTCACACCTAGCTCACACTGAACTCACACCTAGCTCACACCGAACTCACACCTAGCTCACACCTAACTCACACCGAACTCACACCTAGCTCACACCTAACTCACACCTAACTCACACCCCAGAAGTGTAGGCTGCTGAGGGGCTTGAGGGAGCTGCTCCAGGGCTGTTGTGGGTCCTGGGAATCTTGTCTTCAGAGCCCCCACTTTCAGTACGGCAAGCATTAATGTGAATCCACTTCCCACATTCAACAACATTTATGGGTCACTCCGGAAGGACTGGGCTGAGCAGCAGCTGACTGACTGATAATGTGCTATTCATGGACATTCAGTTAAATGTTGAAAATTTTTATTTTTCTATGGCTTTTTGGGGCTCTATTTTTATATTTCATATTTGTTTCATGTCATAGACCATTTCATAGCCTTAAGCCCTTTGCTCAGAACAAACAGAGGCCTGGCCTTGGAGACCTATCTCATCACTTTTCTGTGTCAACCCCTCCCCTGGCCCCAGGTGAGGGATCACATCCCATAGATGTCATCCCATAGATGTTAGGGAGCTTCAGCCAAGGCCAGCTGTGATGTCCCATGGAGAAGACAGAGAGACAAAGGACAGCCTCACCAGGTGGAGAAGCCACTTGAGACAGTGCAGCTTGTGGGAAGCTCAAGTCAGAATCTTCTGTTTTCCCCTTCAGGCAAGGGAGAGGAGGGAGCCCTCCCTGGCCCACCTCCTGCTGGTGGCCCTGTGCTGGACACAGAAACCCCCACCTGGCTCTCTCCTTACCTTGCTCAAGGAGAAGGCCTCTGGGCTGTGTCTGTAGAAGGTTTCTTTGAATGACCCCAACCAGGTCTCAGCAATGCGAACCTTGTTCCTCAGGGTGGCCTCCTGGTCGAGTGGGGAGTGGGCATCCTGATTTCGGTAGATGTGCCCCACCCGAGAGCAGGGAAGGATTTCAACGGAGCCACCACAGAGCCAGGCCTGCCATGAAAGGAGAAGATAAACACTTCGGCATTCCACCTTTAAGAACAGTGGGAAATAAGGAGCCTTGTCTATGAGGGACTGGGAAAATGCACAGGAAGTCGTGAGCACACATGGTGAAGATGATTATGGTCCTCAGGGTGGAGTAGAGTTTTCCGATTTGGAAGTGACGAGGTGGAGAGAATAGAGGCAGTTGTCCCGAAATGGGGACAAGGGGACCATTCCCATGCAACTATCTGAATATGCTGCCCTTCAAACACATGCAGATCCAGCGCTTAGAGAGATGTAGCATGTTAACAGACACCCCAACTCCCCAAAGGACACTTTGGGGAAAAAGAGGTCCCCAATTGTCCGGGAATGTTTAAAAGCTTATGAAGTGTCCTACAAAGGCACCAGAAGCTGTTTGTGGTAGAGACATAGCAAGCTTTCCTGAGACATAGTCTTTACTGTTTTAAGAAAGTTCCCTCTGCTCTCCCACTCCCAAATGGCTGGAGTTCATTTGGCAGGAAGCCTTTCATTCCACATTTGGGGATAAAGGTTAAAGCGAAAACGGTCCTAAGATAAGCAACATCTGAATGGAAACATCAAAACCGGAGTTCCCAAACTGTGTGCCAAGGTGTCCCAGGGTGCCCCAGCAAATTCCTAGGGTCTGGTGTTCAATTTTTGAGAGAAACGTGGTGACATCTGTTGGACTTAAATAGAAGCTTGAGTGATCCACACTTTCAGCATTAGATCTCCGCACTTTTGATGATGAATATTTTGGGGGGTTGGGTTTTTGGAGGGTACTGTGATTAGAAAGCAAATATCATGCTAGAAACCAATGTGGAACAGGAAGTGAGGGCGATTCCAAAGTTCAAGAAGTTGTGTGGTGCCCAACAGGTGCTAAGTTCTTACTACAAGTATTAAAGTGCTTGGGCCAAACTACTCAATACACAGAACTCTGGGTATGTGTTTTGGTCTATGGGTGCTGTGAAAAAATTACTAACAGTGCTATGAATAGAGAATGTATGGGAGCCTCTGGAATCTCTGCACAGCGTTACAATAACTGAGAGTATCCCCATTCTTGGAAGCAGGTTTTGAGGGTCAATTTCATGAGGGCGCTGAGAGTGAAACCAAGCTTCAGCACAAGAGAGATGGGAAACTGTGAGAAATGGGAGGTTCCACGCACAACACGGGAATGACTTTATAATTTTCCCACAGCCTCATGCCTTCCCAGTGACCTTTCTAATGCCTGCCTCCGAGATGTGACCATACATACGACTTCAGAGATCCCGCCTGTGTCCTCCCTTGGTCCAGGACATACCTTGAAAGACAGTTCGAGGTTTTCACCACCCCGCAGCGACATGAGAGGGTCATACGCTCCAGTGTTTTGGAAGTAATGTCTGTCGATGGCCACCACCTCTCCAGGCACCACAGGGCTCCTGGACACAGAAGACGGCAGAACACTGCAGTTCAGAAGCCAGAGGACAGCAGGCAAGGCTGGGGGCGGGGGCTTCCTAGGTAGGATCTCCAGGGGCCGAGAGAACAGGCTTTGGGCTCAGGTAGAAAGCAATGTTTTTAATTGCAAGACTGGAGCAGAGCCATGATGTGAGAGATCCCAGTATTTGATGAAAAGAGAGCTAAGCTTGCCTGGGCCTTTTACACTCTGTCCTCAGGTACTGCTCCTAGAGAGGGCCCAGGGACCACACCTGAGACTCCTCTGCCCTCTGGCTTGAGTCCCTCTGGAAAGATGTTTGGGAAGAAGGTCTTGGTTAAAACAAAGTACCCTAAGAGAGGCAGCGCCAGGCCTGACACAGCAACACGGTCAGGCACTTTCCTCCTTTCTCTTTCTCACCCTCTTCTGTTTTCCTAATAACCATCCATCCTCTCCCCAGTTCTGTGATGAATCCACCAGGGACCCTGGAAGCAAGGGTAAGTCCCCACTGCCCTGGGGGGAAAATATATGATTTATAAACACAGGAAGCTAGAAACCCTTAATAAGGGAATGGAGATCATAATATCCCTCAGAGGGATTTTAAACAGCGAAAGATGTAGTCAGAAGGTTTTTGAAAAAGGGTCTCTTCATCTAGAAGGAAGAAATTTTAAAGCAACCAAATTCTTGGTATTTTTCAAAGTCTAAATGACTAAGAGTTTAGATTTTTCTTAATTACAAAAAAAAAATGGTAATACATTAACAAAGCTACTGGCCTTTAGATTATAAAAATTCGACATTATACCAGAATACTAAAAACTGATATTGTAATGATTATTGAGTATAATTTCCAACTCCGCCACTCCCAATTTGTAAGATCTTAGGTGGGATAGATGTCTTTGAGCTCAGCTTCCTCACCTCCAATTGAGGATAAAATAGTGCTTCGTCATTGTGTTTTGAGGGAATGAAAAGGGCAAGTCATGTAAAAGGCGTGGCTCTGTGCACGCCACGCTTTAAGTGCTCACTGGATTTTGATGTTACAAGTTCAGCATTCCTTTTCTGACACCTGTGGGGCCAGTGTGTTTTTTAATGCAGAATACTTTGGACTTTAAAAAGCGAAACACATCAGTCCTAGTGGGATCTGGGCCACTCTGTAGTTAAACATACTAGTATTTCTATGGTGAAACATACACGTTTTCACAGTAAGCAGTAAGTGGGATAAATGAGGCCGACGCAGACACCCATGTCAGTTCAGGGCAGCTTTTGCTGCCTAATGATTTTGTTTGTGTTTTTTTGAGACAGAATCTTGCTCTGTTGCCCAGGCTAGAGTGCAGTGGTGCCATCTCAGTTCACTGCAACTTCCATCTCCTGGGTTCCAGTGATTCTCATGCCTCAGGTTCCCAAGTAGCTGGGACTACAGGAGTGTGCCACCATACTCAGATTTTTATATTTTTTTTGTATTTTTAGTAAAGATAGGGTTTCACTATGATGGCCAGGTTGGTCTCGAACTCCTGGCCACAAGTGATCCGCCCACCTCAGCCTCCCAAAGTGCTAGAATTACAGGAGTGAGTCACTGCACTTGGCCTGCTGCCTAATGAATTATTAAACAAATGCTTGGTTTTTAGAGCTTTTTGGATTTTGCAGTTGTGAATAATGAACCATGGCCTTGCATTTAACATATAGCATAGCAGTGAAGCCAGTGGTCTCAGGGCCTGGCTGTCTGAGTTTTAATTCTGGATTCACCTCTCATTACTTTTATAGTGTTGAGAAACTTTTTAAATCCTTATGTACCCCAGAAACCATGGAGGCAGAAAACCAATCCCCCTGCGTCTTTTCCGAATTCACGCCCCACAGAATTCATGAGCTTAATAAAAGGCTGTTGTTCACACCAAGTTTGAGGTGGTTTGTTATGCATAAGATATTTAGTATATCTACTTAAACAGAAGGGTCATCCAAAAACCAAACATGTGAGAAGTGACCCATACAACTGGATATATTTGAGACCTATGGTTCTTAGCATTCATTTGGTTGATTTCCTCTTATTTGCTAAGACAGGACCTGAGGAATTCACACTGTACCTGGTGAGAGAGCTGGGCCAAGATTCCATCTCAGGTTGCCACAGTGGGGCATTAACTGATGCTACCTGGAGAAGCCTGGCAGAACTTTATGAATACAGCAATATAATGGTGGCAACATCCACATCTGGGTGGTTGGCATCTCTAAGCGCTTTTCACATATTCAGTCCTCACAACAATCCTTTAAGGTAAATACTGTGATTGCTCTCAATTTACTGATAAGGGAACTGTGGCATAAATTAAGTGATTTACTAGGACGCTGTGGAGGCAGGATTAGACCCCAGGCAGCCAGGCTGCAGAGTCCATCCTGAGGAGGCAAAGGCAAAGCAGGTGTGAAATGGGGCCTCACCTGATGGGGCTTGTGGGGGACTGGAGGGCCTCGCTCACATGCTCCGGCAAAGGCTCCCAGTAGAAATCCAGCTTCCAGTCCAACACCCCACGCTGCAGCTCCTTCGAGGGGTAATACTGGAAAGTCTTCCAGTCAATCACATCTATCACCGGAGATACCACCCGGCTCCTGCAAGGAATTGTGGAATCAAACAAGGGACACAAAGCATCCACGTGCTGGGGCTGAAAACATAGTCTGCACAGGGGCTGCCCAATATGGCGGCCATCAACAGCCATACCTAAAATGGGGTTTATCCAAATCAGACGTGGAGCAAATGTAACATACACCCTGGATCGAGAATACTTAGTATGGAAAAAAAGGATGCAAAAATCTCAATAATTTTTACATTGAATACATGTTGAAATGATAATATTTTGGATATATTGGGTTTACTAAAATATATTATTAAAATTAACTTTGTTTTTTTTTATTGTAATGTGACTATTAGAAATGTTTAAATTACATGTGTGGCTCGTGTTCTATTTATATTGTACAGCACTGTTCTACAAAATGTTTTTCCATAAGGTATAGGGGTCCATCACTTTAAAGAGCATGCCAGTACTTTTCTTTCTTCAAAAACCTTTCTTGACAGCACTGAGAGATAGAGAGAGGGGTCCTAGGCTCAGCTCTGCTGCTAATGAACGATGTAATCTTGAGATACCTCTTATACCTCTCTGGGCCTCAGTTTCCTCATTTGTAGAATGGGAGGTTGAACTACTTCTCACAAAGGCCTTTCTCAGCTGCAGTGCTCTAGGACTGTGGCTCTTAACTTCTTTTGGGGTCCTTGATCCCTTTGAGACTTGGGAAAACTATGGGCCACTCCGGAGTGAAATCTTATATGTCCATGTAAAAGCTATTGTGCACGAGGTCAGAGAGTTTATGGGCCCCTACTCTCAGGTCTATTTCTTCTTTCTCCTTGTATCATAATACTTGAATAGCTTGAGAAATCAAGGTTTCCAAGCCCTAGAAGTAACCTGACTGTCAATACGTGTGTATATGAACATGTAGTATCTATAAGCAACACAAAGTCTTAAATCTTGGTTTACTTGCTTATTTCCTGCTGCAGTTGGTGATTGGTTTTTAGCCCAATTGTTCTGGACAGCCTGGAGATATGACTGCAGCATGATGTGGGAAACTGACATGGGTCATATACTTTTAAACTAAGTAGGTAATCACTCAGGTGCACCAGGAGCTGCTGCCCACCTAGCCAATATCTCAATCACATTTTCTCCCCCTGGCCTGTCATGATAATTATGTCTCAAATCTGTGCCATGCAATGGATCAGGACTGAACTTAAGGGTGGCTGGAAGCTATCACACTAAGAGAAGTGAGATTCCTGGGAGGAGAGATACCAGCCACATTGTGCTTCCACTACCATCAAATTCCATCTCAGTTCCATCGTCTAGGAGAGAGCCAGGGTGGTCACACCATTTCGTATCTGCTTTAATCTGTGGCTTTAGGTAACTGACATAGGTGTAAGGAGTTGTGGGGTCTATATTTAGAACAAGGATCTTACTATGCTTTTCCTGCTGCTTTCACATTTCTGCTGGAAGGCAAGTGGAACGTAATTCCTCTGGGTCCCCCCTATTTTGGGGGGTACCCTGTATTGACCTAAGAAAACTGAGAACCTAGACTGGGGAGGAAATGAGGGCACCTAGAGCTCCCTCCAGAGTCTCCGCTTACTGCGTAATGAATCAGGCAGATGAATAAATTTGGCTATTGGCAAAGCATTTTGCGGAATTTTGGAATCAACAGCCAAGAAATTGTGTGGCTGAATTAGGAGGAAACCCAGGAAATGTGCGCCATCTTCAGCAATCATGACAAGAAAGGGCCTTGCATTCAAGCATTCCCACAACCAATTTTCCCTAGGTCTCTGGGCTGTGTATTTCTTCTTCTTCTTCGTTTTCTTTTTTTTTAAGTTCTCACTCTGTCGCTCAGACTGGAATGCAGTGGTGCAATCTGGGCTTACTGCAACCTCCGTTTCCCAGGCCCAAGTGATTCTTCAGCCTCAGCCCCCTGAGTAGCTGGGATTATAGGCATGAGCCACCATGCCCAGCTACTGTGTGTGTGTGTGTGTGTGTGTGTGTGTGTGTTGAGAAACAGGATTTTCCATGTTGCTGAGGCTGGTCTCAAACTCCTAAGCTCAAAGCAATCCGCCAGCCTCGACCTGCCAAAGTTCTGGGATTACAGGTATGACCCACTGCACCCGGCCTGTGCTGTGTACTTCTTAACAAAGGAGCAATTACTTTTTATTAGAAAATGAGAATTCTAAAATTCATTATATTTCTCTTTTTCTTTTGTCTTTCTGGAAGCTCAGAGTCACAGGTGAAACTCACTTCTAATAACTGTATTACCCCTGATTCCCAATAGCCTCTTTTCCTTTCTGAAATCTTTTTCCTCTATTTTAACTGCGTATAACAGTGATTAATCATGAGCCTCTCTGAGTATATTTTGGATAGAGATAAAGAATAAAATGCCAATGAATGAAGTGAGGGGTGTTTTCTATTTTGGTCTTTATTCCCATGGACCACAGAGGCTGGCTGCCTAAGCAGGGCTAAATTAGTAACTGTAGTCTAGTGACTCAAAAAGGGTGATTAATTAAAACAAAAAACCCACAGTCTTCATTTAGCTTTGTGTTTTTGTACCTACAGATGTGTCTGGTGTTCTGGGAATTCAAGCAAAATAGCAAGGCTACCCCGTTTGACTTGGAAGGAGCTAGAAGTGTCTGCTTACTTCATCATTCTCTCACCTGTGAATTGAGTTCTAACCCTCAGGCAGGTGCCAGGTTGATCCTATGTTAAGCCTAAGTTCCAGGAGATCAAGTGCTTGTGTTTCAGAAGGCAAACAGAAGGCGTCAAGCTGCCAGCAAAGGGTGGCTCACTGAAATATGTGAGATCAACGAATACATCGCTGTCCAGATATTCAAGAGCTAACTGTAGTTTCAGCCTTCCCATAACCTTTTGCCACAATAAAGAATAAGCCTTCCTTTATCTCAATCCTCATTAATTCTCCTGAGCCTGGATGTTCCTAGAGGTCCGTGGTGCATGAGCCATTTTGAAAGTTCATGCGCATTCTTGGTGTTTGTGGTAAGTCTCTTATACCAGAAGCAGAACGCTCTGAATTCTCCCTTTCCAGAGCACTTGCTGCTCAGATGTGACCATAGGACTGGCACCGGCTCTTCCAGGGGCAGATATGAGGACGTGCCATGTTGAGGGATATGAAGCACAATGGCAGCTGGAGAGTTTCCTCGGGGCATCTGAGCCAAAGAAGGCTGCTCCCTCTGGAGGGCCAGGAGGCATCCTGACCACCTGCTGCTCATTGACGCATGAGTGCACACATAGACGCACACACGCACACATGCACGCACACACATGCACGCACGCACACACATGCACGCACGCACACACACATGCAGGCACACACACATGCACGCACGCACATACATGCACGCACGCACACACACATGCACACACGCACATGCATGCACGCACACACACATGCACACACGCACACACATGCACGCACGCACACACACGCTCACTCCCCCTTCTCTCTCCCCCACACTCAGACTCTCACATGCTTACACACACATACAGACACACATGCACAAACAGGGGGTTCTTACACTGTTTTCCATCATTTAACCCCTCAAAGGGCAGGTGTTCTGCTTCCGGCCCCACATTGCTTCTCCCCACAGCAGCCCTGGCTGAGCCTGAAGGAATGGATGTCTTGCAGATAGGGACCAGATCCATCTTCAAGTAAGAGATAACTTGGCCAGCATCTTGAGATGATATCATCTTTCAGCCCCTTTCAAGATTGTCCCTTTCCCCTTAGAGACCTTCATCCTTCCAGGGGTATGGCTTCCACTGCTTGGCTTGTGTATGAGAGCTGAGAGTCAGCACAAGGCAGCTGGGAGCTGGATACAACAGCCGGTCTTGATTCCGATCGTCCTTACTTTGTGTAGAAACTGGACATCAATCAGCACCTCCCAGAGCTGCCCTAAAATCACTTGCCCATAGGGAGACTCTGTGCAGGGTTGCTATGAACAGCTATAGGAGTTGTACACTGCACAACCCTAGAGAACACCTCTAATATCATCGTTACTATAAATTTGTATTTTTATTTTGACAAGTTGCTGACAGTTGGCATTAAGATGTTTTATTCCAATAAAATCAGTATGTTATGACCCATTTTCTGAGGAATGGGAGTCATGAGGATGGTCATGAGGAAGGGATTTCTACCAATTCAAATAAAGTTGCCACGTGGCTAGTAGGAACCTAGGTGCGGACGGGGCACAAAGGTTGGTCAGCAGGCTCTGAGTTCCTTGGTGAGGGTGTGGAGGAGGCTGTGACTCTTTGAAATAGCTAATTTATGGCTAATTGACTTCACTTGCCACTCCCACCCCACCTTTTTTATAAGAGCTCTTAAAGACCCTTCCTGTCTTTTGGGCACTGTGTCCTCATCTGGTGACAGAATGTCTCCTGACACGAGCCTCGGAGACAGCTGGGCCCCCTTTCCGCTCCGTGTGAGGAGCTGCACCAAATGGTTTCCGCAGCTTTGCTTTGCATGAGGCATGTGGCGACGTCCCTGGTGGGGTAAGACACACACTGAATGGGGCTGCTGTCTCAGCGGCAGCTCACAGAGCATCGCCATGTGGAGTGGGGAGAGTGGGACCCAGATACCAGAGAGGCAGCTTTTCTTCCAGATCCTCACCTGCCAAGACTTACAAGCTGCACACTGGGCCCAGAGAAAACAGAGTGGACGAGAAGCCATGAATGAGGTGTGGTGATGATGAAAACGTGTTCATGTCACGCAGAAGAGACGGAAGCCAAAGAGGAAGGCAAGCCAGTAACACACCAGGATCAGAGGCCCAGTGTGTGTGTGTGTGTGTGTGAGAGAGAGAGAGAGAGAGAGAGAGAGAGATTGTAAGAGAGGCAGAGGGGCAGACAGGGAAAAGAGGAGAGGGAAGGACACAAGAAATTGGGATTCCCAGGGAGCCCCATTTTCTTTCTAGCTGAGGACACTGAGGTACTGCCATGTCTTTGTCCCTTCACCTAGATCTGTAAAATGGGGACCCGATGTGAGAAGCTGATACAAGGGACTCACAGCAGTGGGTAACATGTGTCTCACAACCAGATGTGGGTTTAGGGATGACTAATGATTCTCCCTGACCAGCTTCTCCAACTCTTAAAAAGAAAACATACACGATAAAAAGAGCACGGGACCCAGAGTCGGAAAACCTGACTTAGCTACAAATTCACTGCCTTATGTGTCATGTCACCTTTCTGAGCCTCCGTTTCTCCCCTATAAAACAGAAGCCAAAATACCTGCCCGAGGCATCTCACATGGGTCATTAAAGAAGGTATATGAGAGAACTCTGTGAGGGTTATACATACATAAGGTTGAATAATATTAATTTATGCATTTCTAAATGTCTACATAAAGGAAGCATAGAAAACAGCCCAGCTGTCAAGTGGCTGCTTGACCCTGAGGGGTCTTTTTTTGCTTTCCTGGAACTCAGGATTCTCAACAGTGAAATCGTGAGGTAGGACAAGATGTTCTTCATGGTCCCTCTGAGAGCCACCTGTCTGTGATACCAGGACAGGAATTACATGGCGAATGGTTGAGATCAACTTCAGAGTATGACCCCAAAGATAGATATCATCGTGATTTCAAGATGGTTCTTGCATGGAACAGAATCAAGAATGGTAGCTTTGGAGGGCTTGTGCATTTTCTCTCTCTCTCTCTCTCTCTCTCTCTCTCTCTTTTCTTTGACAGAGTCTCGCTCTGTCACCAGGCTGGAGTGCAGTGGTGCGATCTCAGCTCACTGCAACCTCTGCCTCCCAGGTTTGAGCAATTCTTCTACCTCAGCCTCCCAAGTCGCTAAGATGACAGACACATACCACCAAGCCCAGCTAATTTTTGTATTTTTAGTAGAGACGAGGTTTCACCATGTTGGGCAAGCTGGTGTCGAACTCCTGACCTCAGGTGATCTGCCTGCCTCAGCCTCCCAAAGTGCTGGGATTATAGGCATGAGCCACCACGCCCGGCCAGCTTGTGCATTTTCGTGTCCTAGTTCTGGTCCTACTGCTGAATTTATGTATGTCTTCTTTTCTTATGTGAGTCAAGAGGCAATTTATCTCATGAAACTGGGCAACATTAATCTGTCTTGATCTCACTAGAGTTCCGATTGTTCTTCTTTGTTAAAATGGAATGCTAAACTGTTAATAATTTATTTTCTGTCACTTGAAACTGTCTCCATTTGGCAGGATGGTAGCTCCTATGTCTCCAGGATTCATTCCAATGTGGTCCAGGAATTTTTTCTTATATTTAATCATCCCTAACTTCAAGTGAGATAATAAACATTTACTATGGGTAGGAGCAAAGGATAGAAGTCCTAGGCTTCGTTCTAGCATTGGTCCTATCTGGCTGGGCACCATCAAACAATTATTGATTGTGATTCTACTCTGCTACACGCCTACATGAGCTCCAAGGGGTAGGCCTGAGGTGGTCCAACGTAAGCCAGCCACCAGGTTTCAGTTTTCCTGGCTGGGTTATTCACACTGAGGGTAACAGTTGACCAGACACATTTAGGAACTGTTTGTCTTGAGCCAGGAAGTGAGAAAGAGATTGACAGTCAGAAGGGGGAAGGAGAGCAGAGAAATGGTTGAGAAAAACGTTAAAATGCTTGTCTACCGGGTAATGTAATGCAATCCTCTCCAATTTCATATTTCTAAGGGCTGGCCTTCGGTAGAAAATTAGGGACCCCTTGTATAAGTTGGGGAAACAAAGAATGCTGCTTAGTGATCACAGAATCTAATGTTTTCTTTTGATGGGTGAGTCATCTATGGCCTAGTGTTGTTCAGAGACTTTTTCCCCAGGTTATTTTACAAGTTTGATTAAAATTGCCGAATTTTCACCAAAGCCAGTGATAGCCATGGTAAGGTGTTACTTACCTTATCATACAATTTAATACAATTTTAAGTATTTGCAGCCTTATAGAAGCTGTTCTCCAGGCCTCAGTTTCTTTATCTATAAAATGATGTAGATGGACTGGAACACCTCTAACCCCCTGTCCAGCTCTAACTCCCTATTCTCAGAAGGCTTAAACATCTGAAAACCTAGAGGAATAGATCACTGTCTAATGGGGACTCACAAATTAACGGGAGAGCTGTTCTGTGAGTGGTTGATGCTGTAGACCATTTCTCCCAGTCCCACGTCTTGCTTTGCAAGCCCAGGGGATAAGTTACCTGTCACCAGCTATTCTGCTGAGGAGGGGCTCCAGCCATCCTGGGTGGCACTCACAGTGGGCATCCATGAAGACCAGCACATCCCCCGTGGCCCTGGTGGCCCCAAGCATCCGGGCCCTGATGGCGCCCAGCCTCTTGTTGCTCCTGAGTAACTTCACCCCCTCCAGCCTGGCCACGTATTCGCTGAGAGCAGACTTGAGTTGTCCTGGAATCAACAGGGTTGCAGTCAATGGAATGACAAATGCCACAACCGATGAGATTGTGACTAAGATAATTGTCTGCAACTCTCTCTTGGAAGCTGTGGTGAGCCAAAGGTCCTAAGAATCAAAAACATTATTACAGTGTGGTTGTTACTAAGATGTAAGATGCTTCCTTAGGTTGGGATGGGCCATGATCGTCTCCAGTAAAAACTACAGGGTTGATGTCAGAAAACCAGGAAAGGGGAGAACTTGCTAACATTCTTCAAATGCAGCAGGAAGAATGTAGCAGATATTGTTGGCATCTGATATGGTTTGGTTCTGTGTCCCCACTAAAATCTCATCTTGAATTGTAATCCCCATAATTCCCACATGTCAAGGGAGGGACCTGATGGGAGGTGATTGGATCATGGGGGCAGTTTCCCTCATGCTGTTCTCGTGATAGTGAGTTCTCATGGGATCTGATGATTAGGTAAGTATTTGACAGTTCCTTTCTCTCTCTCTCTCTCTCTCTCTCTCTCTCTCTGCCATGTAAGACATACTTCCCCTTCTGCCATGACTGTAAGTTCCCTGAGGCCTCCCCAGCCATGTAGAACTATGAGTCAATTCAACCTCTTTTCTTTTTTTTTTGAGACGGAGTTTTGCTCTTGTTACCCAGGCTGGAGTGCAATGGCGCAATCTGGGCTTACCGCAGCCTCCGCCTCCTGGGTTTAAGCAATTCTCCCGCCTCAGCCTCCCGAGTAGCTGGGACTACAGGCGTACGCCACCATGCACAGCTAATTTTTGTATTTTTAGTAGAGACGGGGTTTCGCCTTGTTGAGCAGGATGGTCTCGATCTCTTGACCTCGTGATCCACCCGCCTTGGCCTCCCAAAGTGCTGGGATTATAGGCATGAGCCACTGCGCCCAGCCTAAACCTCTTCTTATAAATCACCTAGTCTCGGGTAGTTCTTTACAGCAGTGTGAGAACAGACTAATACCATGTCCTACTCTAATTCCCTGAGCTCCCATTAACTGATTTGGTTTGATTTGCATGTCCCCAGCTGCTGTGGGTGATAACTGAAATCTGAACCCTTCCCTGGAGACTTGCCTTGGGGTATTAAAATGGTCTGTGCTGCAGGTGCCAGAGATCATGTAGGATGCCGCACCCAGCCCTAGGTGCTCATGGTCAATGACTGACCATGGCAGGGTAGAAAGCAAGACTGACTCCACAGTGCAGGCCATGCCCCAGGGTTCCCCATGGGATCAGGCTATGACTGGACTTCACCTGAAATCACATCTTTGTTCAGCTCTTCCCACCGTCTCTTCTGCATCACCCATTCCCCTACAGGTTTCCCCTGAGAGTATATCCTCAAAAAAATGACATGCACATGAATCTCCCTCTCAGGTCCTGCTTTCAGGAAACCAACCTAAGACAGTGAGTGGTCAAGGAAGTCAAAGGCAAAAGGGTCCATTCAATTTGGTAGCTGGTAGGAGGTTGGTGGTACTGATCAAACAGGTCTCACTGCAGTTGATATGAGAGTCTGCAACACAGTTGGTCCAGGAGCGACAACGGGAGATGAAGGCATGAGAGCAAGAGTCCTGGCAGTGTTTGGGGAAGGCTGATTCTACAGGGGAAGGAAGAGAAAGAGGCCCAAGAAGAAGGTGATGGAAAGGATGAGAGAAGCTTGTTAGGTTTTGTGTTTAAGGTAAGAATAACTCGATTGTGTGGGTGTGTGTGTTTGTGCATGTCTGTGTACACACTCATATGCCAAGAGGAACAAGCCAGTGGAAATGGAAGGAATAATGTGTTCACAGAGAAGCAGTGTTCTCTATGAAGTCTTGGGAATCGGTAGTCTCCAGCCCACTGGACTAAGATCTCCCCAAGGGCAGCAGTTGTACCTAATGCATCTCTTCTGCTCCAACCCTCAGTGCAGGGCCGGGCTCACAGTAGGGACTCAGTACATGTGCATTGAACAGAACTGAGCCAAAAAGCAAGAATTTCTCCCCCGTTCCCCAGCCCAGAGGTAGCCTTAACTGTGGATAGAAACAGCCTGGCTGCTTTGGTAGCTGGATCTCTGGGGAGGCTGGAGAAGGTTAAGGCTGCCCCGCCTGAGAGCCCCCAGTAGACTTCCTACACTCCTTCCCTGAGAAGCTGTCTTCTCAGCACCGCGGATTTTCTGCAGGGGGAACAATGTCCTCAGCAGTGCAGGAAAGGATTCCCAGTCACTTGGCTGTTACAATCTCAGTCGTAAAATGCTGTGCTGATTTGTTACTTTATAACTATTTTTCTTCTAAGATTGTCAGTCCTGGTCCACTCCCTAGAGAGGAATCTCTGTTAGTCCAGCAATTAAAATTTCTGGACTTGCATGTCTGAAAATCAACCCCTTAGTGACTTCATTGGATTTAACATTGCTGAACATAACATCTTCCTCACCATTCATTCTCCCCTTCCACTGCACCGACAGAACTTGGATGTTGCTCAGGGCACCAAAAGCAGTTATCTCCCGAGACCTGCTCTCACTGCTGGCAGCAGCTCTGGCAGAAATAAACTGGATGAGAGAATTCTGGGAAAGCTATTGTTTTACTATTTATTTTTCCTAAGAGGACAAACGGGATTGGCCTCTGCCTATCTCTTTTCCTACCTGAAATGTGTATGTGATGTCCAGAGGCAAAGCAGCCCTGTTGTGATTATGAGGCCAAAACTACTCTGTAAGCATGGGGAAGTGGAAAGCAGATGAAGGCAGGTGCCCAATGGCATTGCAGTGCTGTAACGCCAATCCTACATTGTACCCTATGAGCTTTCTATACTACAAAGAAACATAAATCTCTATTCACTGGTTAAGTCACTGCAGCAGGTTTCTGCTCTATGCAGCCAAATATAGTCCTTCACCGATATTCCCACCAAACATTTATGAAGCCCTTCTTGGGCTGACTGCTGGCCTCTTTAGCCACACCTCTAACCCTTGTTAGTATTATTTAGGACAGACTTCTAGCAAGAGAGCTTCAGAACAGATTAAGGAAGAACTTTCAGACTGCAGTGTTGGCTTGGCATTCGCAGAGGGTTTTGAAGCAGGTCTGAGTGGTACAGGGCTTGGGAAAAGCTGATATGACCCTCAACTCCTTCCTTCCAGAAAACAGCAGTAGTAATGATTGCCACTTGTAAAGGGTCGTCATGGGCTGGGCATCACAAGCATTTTCTGATTTAATGATTCAGTGTGGGCATTACTGCCCCAGATGAATACCCTGGAGCCCATCTAGCTGACTCTATCACACTACACTACGCTGTCGTGACCATCGGCTTGGCAAGCCATCAGGGTGGCTCTGGGCAACCCACAGCACCTTTTTGTGTCTCAGTTTTCCTCATAGGTAGAGAAGGGTTGATGAGACCTGCCTCTCTGGGTGGCCAAGAGGATGAAATGAAAACAGTGCGTGGCGGCGCTTGTCTGGGATCTAGATCTCGGAGGAGAGGAACCTGCAGCAATGGAACCAGTGCTGCCCTTGTTGGCAGAACAGCCCTGTACCCCAATGTGGTCAGGAAACATGGGGCCGCTAGATGGAGAGCCAGCCCAGCGGTGGGCGCAGAGGGGGAGTTGGCCAGGAGGGAGCAGCTTAATTGCTTGGCTCCCTCTGGTGGGGCTGCCAGCTCTGAGGTAGCCCATTTCTCTGGGGCCCAGCTTCTCCACTTTTCACACTCCTGAGGGGCACAGACATAACACAGCTCATCAAATGGCGAGCGCTGGACCACAGGTGTGCTCTTGGGTGGACCCTGCCCCGGTTGAGGGTTTGGAGAGACTCTGGGCACTTTACCAGTCAACCCAGCCCTGGCCGGCACCTGTTCATTAGTTCTGCCTGATATGTGGCCAGCAGCAGCCAGGAACCCTAGGTGTTCCCAGAGCCTCTGGCTAATCTGAGTCGCTGCTATGGCCAGGCTGGGCCTATCCCTGGAGTGAGGGCCTTAGAAAGAACTAACAGAGGCACCTCACCACTCTAGCCCTTCTCAATCATTCCCTTGAGAAAAAAAGTGAATGTTTGGCTTCTCTTGGAGCATTCTGATCTTCCCACAAGGCCAGAAGGTCTGGCGCAAGCAGGTCATTTAGTTGTGCCAGAAATGTGGGCCTCAGACCCATGCCAAAGACTGGAGCAGAGGTTCTCAAAGTGCGGTCCACAGAAAACAGCAGCACCAGCATCACCTGGGATCTTGTTAGACATGCAAATTCTTCGGCCCCACTCCATCTCCAGAAACTCTGGGGGTGGGCCCTGCGGTCTGTATTTTTAAAATCCCACCAGGTGATTCTGATGCACGCTCAAGTTTGAGAACCACTGAACTAGAAGTCAGGTCAGGGTTTCTGTCTCCATCTTCCTCTTTTAGGGCTGTCCCTAGCAGCAAGGTACCTGCGAGAGGAAGCAGACAGGCAGCTTCTGCAAGTCTGGCTCTGGGCCTGCCTCTGCTGCCCTTGGCTGACTCGGCTGCGGTCTGCTCTCTTTCTTGGGCCCCAGGTTCCTCTTCTGGAAAGTGAGTGGGTCGGTCTAAGCCATGATGAGTTAAGGACCAATACACACATGTGCGCGTGTGTGAAATGTGGCACCAGGGTCTAGGAGGCAGTGAGCCTCACAACAGGGCTGCCTCGTGTGATTCTTCAGTGTCCTGGGGAGAGGATTGTTGAGTTGGGTGGGGCCTGGGAGAGAGATTCCCACGGGATCGGGCTGAGGCCATGCCCCTCAAACCTTCCCCACGGCTGTTTCCCCTGCAGGACTCGGCCCCCACTGCCTCACTGGTTCCCCCGGTGACTCCTCATTCATAAGTTACTTGCCCACGAATCCTCATCTGGAGGTCTGTACTTGGGGAATGTTGCCTAAAATAGTTCCCAATTTCAATCCTTTGCTTCAGAACTCTACCTGCCAGGGGGTCAGGCTCACCAGGTGAGCCTGGAGGAAAGCTGGGCTACCTTGCTGGCTGAGGTCGTCCACGAGGATGATCTCCTTCAGGAAGGCCCTGGGCACTGTGTCGAGGATGCTGTGCACAGTCCTTAGGAGGGTGGACCAGGCCTCATCATGGAAACAGAGGATGACGCTGGCCGTGGGCAGGCTGTCCTCAGGGTGCTGCTGCAGACACCTGCAGGGAAGAGAACCAGGGAGCCATGAGGAAGAGAAGGCCACAAGAAACACTCCACACCCTCTAACTCACTCCCCATGCCCTGGCTGGTGCTGCTCCCATGACAGGGCTGTCCTTTGGGATCTCTTAAAATTCCCACATAAAGAGAAACTGTTACACCCCATAGTGCTGCTCTCTGCTATCTCCCAATTCTCAGATCTCAAGAGCTCCTTTATCATTTAATCCAAAGTCCCTCTCATTGCAATTGAGAAGCGTTGCCATCATTCTCAGCAGATGATTGTCCTCATCTATAAAATGGGAATGAATGACAATATCATCAACCTCACAGGGCTGTGGCGAGGCTTAAATAGGATGACGCACATAGTTACATGTCCAGTAATCTCAACTGTCATCCACTCAATGGCAGGGACACCATTTTCATGTTCCTACAACCTAGCATAGCACCTGGCACACAATTTTTAAATGTTAGCTTTTACTATGTCTTAAAATTTTATTTTATTTTATTTTAAGTCCCAGGATACACGTGCAGGGTGCGGGTTTGTTACACAGGTAAATGTGGGCCAGAGTGGTTTGCTGCACCTATCAACTCATCACCTAGGTACTCAGCCCCACATGCAATAGTCATTTATCTTGAATGCTCTCCCTCCCCACGTCCCCCCAACAGGCTCCAGTGTGTGTTGTCCCCTCTCTGTGTCCATGTGTTCTTATTGTTCATCTCCCGCTTATAAGTGAGAATATGCAGTGTTTGGTTTTCTGTTCCTGTGTTTGTTTGCTGAGGATAATGCTGAGGATAGTGGCTGTCTGTGAATAGCATGCTTGGTGTTTGCTTTGCTCTGGGTCTGTTGAGAGCGCATGGGTCCAGAGTGGAACGAATTATAACAACGTGGTACATGGAGCAGCGCGTAGCTCACACCTGCTTACAAAAGCCGCTTTCTTAACGTGTTTCTGAAGCACTTCTTTCTGTATTCCAGCTGCTGCTCAAGCCATGTTCCTCCTTAGAGGGGCATTTGAATAGAGGCCATCTCAAGGACCCCAAAAATCAGACACCTAAAGGCGTCTGTGAGGTAGAACTGCAGGCAGAGTGACAACCAGGCTGAGGCTGGCCCTGTCTAAGGGAAACACTTCCTAAGAGGTGTCAACTCACGCTGCTCACTAGCTTGGCACCAGTCCTAAGAAAGACAGAAAACTCTCATGCACAGGAAACCCGTGTGTGACTCTCAGGGCAAGATCCTGTGTAGCGGGGAGAATCAAGTCTAGGTAATGGTAAAACAGAATTCCTAAATATTTTTTTAAAACACATAAACATCTCATAAATGAGCTAATTATCTTGTTGGTTTATAGATTTATAAGCTATTTATTTCCATAAAAGATTTGAAGCCACTCAAGAAATACATACAATACAAATACTTAAAATGAGGGTAAAATAAAAATGAGGAGGAAAAGTCAGGAGCTGAGGAATATGAGTCAATGCAGAAAGCCAGCATTTGGAAAAAGAACATAAGTATATAGATTATAAGGGCCTAGGTATTTCTGGAATGAATTTAAATTTGACTCTGAGATTTCTGTAGCCAAAGTAAAATGTTTATTCTGCAACAGAATTATCACTATTAGAGAAGTGTTCTCGCCTCAGGTCTACAAGGGGGCGTGGTTTCAAAGGCAAGAATTTCCCAGCAACATGCCCGACCTGCCTCCTTTCACGTCTCCATCTGGGAGCTTCGAGGTCTTTAGCTTTCGTGCTAGCAGGAAGACAGACTGCCCAGGTGAGCTTCCTTCGTCTAGAAAGCCCGCGAGAAGCTATGGGAAGTCTATGGGCCAGACAACAAATCAGATGTCAGAAATCAAAGATCAATCACTCCAGCAGAAGTTTAAAGGAACTCCTTTCATAGAACAGAAAACTTGAATGGGACAGGAGTAACTCCCAGATTAAAAGAGCTCTCTCTATATATATATCTATTTATTTCTCCTTTTTCTCTCTGCCTAAATAAATCACTTTCTGCAAAACTCTTTAGGCTCTGATATTTACTTAAATGAGCTCACTGCACCTGGCAGGGTCCTCTCCCCCATTCTTGGGTGAGTGAAGGACCGAGGGACCAAGGGCCTGGAAGAACACATCCAATCAGGGAGCTGAGCCTCCCCTGTGTCCTGCAGCCTGGTCTCTTGAGGACCAGCATCAGCTGCCAGGTCTGAGAGCAAGGCCATCTTGTTCAGTGCAGTCAGCTGCCCTCTGACAGCAGCCACAGGGGTGACCCCAGAGATCAGCAGAAGAACTGCCCAGCTGAGTCCAGTCCAAATTATAGAACCATGAACACAGAAATGGTTATTGTTTGAAATCACTGTTTTAATAATATTTTTATTGAGATACAATTCATATAGCATATCTGCCCTTATAAAGTGTACAGTTCCATAGATTCAAGTATAAAGGTGTGCAGCCATCACCGCTATCTAATTTGAGAATTTTTTTTTTTTTTTTTTTTTTGAGACGGAGTTTCGCTCTTGTTACCCAGGCTGGAGTGCAATGGCCCGATCTCGGCTCACCGCAACCTCCGCCTCCTGGGCTCAGGCAATTCTCCTGCCTCAGCCTCCCGAGTAGCTGGGACTACAGGCACGCGCCACCATGCCCAGCTAATTTTTGTATTTTTAGTAGAGACGGGGTTTCACCATGTTGACCAGGATGGTCTCGATCTCTTGACCTCGTGATCCACCCGCCTCGGCCTCCCAAAGTGCTGGGATTACAGGCTTGAGCCACCGCGCCCGGCCCGAGGACATTTTCAATACCTCAGCCCCCAAAACCTGCTACCCATTGGGAGTCCCTCCCCACCACTAACGCAACCACCACAGCCCCTAGCAACCACTAACCTACTGTCTTTATAGACTTGCCTAGTTTGGACACTTCAAATGAATGAAATGACATAATATGTGGCCTTTTGTGACTGATTTCTTTCACTTAGCATAATGTTTTCAAGGTTCATCATGTTGTAACCTGTATCAATACTTCATTTCTCGGCCCAATATTTCATTGTTTGAATATACCACATTTTGTTCAGCCATTCATCAGTTGATGGACATTTGGGTTGCTTCTATTTTGACTTATATGACTAATGCCACTATGAATATTCATGTATAAGTTTTTGTGTGGATGTGCTTTTAATTGTCTTGAGTATATACCTAGGACTAGTATCACTGGTCATGCATTAGCTCCATGTTTAACATTTTGGTGAACTGCCAAACTGTTTTCCAAAGCAGTTGCGCCATCTTACAGTCCTATCAGCAACGTATGAGGATTGCAATTTCTCTACATCCTTGTCAGCAGTGTCTTTTTTATTTCAGTCATCCTAGTGGGGATAAAATGACATCTCATTGTGGTTTTGATTTGTATTTCCCTAATGACTAATGATTTGAGCATCTTTTCATGTGCCATTGACCATTTTTATGTCTTCTTTGAAGAAATGTCTATTCAAATCCTTTGCCCATTTTAACATGGAGTGCTTTGTTGTTTAATTGTTGGGTTGTAAGGGTTCTTTTTGTATTTTGGATACAAATCTCTTATCTAACATAGGACTTACATTTTCTTCTACTCTTAGATTGTCTTTTTCACTTTCTTGACAACATCCTTTGAAGCACTGAAGTTTTTAAATTACCTGTTTTTAAAAATCTACTAAGTTTTGACACGGTGCATTATACAGCACTACATTGTGGACACACTGTCCCATTTTTAAGACGAGGAAGCCAGAGTCCAGAGAGTTTAAATGACTTGTTTAAAGTTATACAGCAAATAGCTGAGAGTATACTGCCAATGACCTATCTATATGCCTATCTATCTATCTATCTATTGCCATCTTGGACTACAGTGCTAGCAGAATGTTCTGGATTCAGAGTCATAAAGGGACATGATGGAAGGTTATTTGAAAAACATGCGATCCATCAGTTCCTCCACACTTTCTGCACTGTCTACGCTGATTCCTTAAGGTCTTAGAAAGGCAACTTACTTGTCTGCCCCCTCCCCCATCTGGGCTGCCTGAGAAATGTGCTTACAGGGAGTCATGCTTGTCGTCACGCTCTCAGCTTGTATCAGGGGACAATGTAAGAATCACTTTTAGGAAGCTGAGGGAACCTATTGAGGATGTTGTCCTCCTGTCACTGGTTATCCCCACTTTGAAGCTTTGGGAGAAAAGTCCTTGCAGATATAAGTGCCACAAAATACTTTCCTTCATCTGAGCAACTGGTGTGCTTCCCTCATGAAGAATAACAATAAAAATACTGTCTTTTTTTATTTTTCAGTGTGGCTGCCAGGAAGCTCAGAGTATGGAAAAAGGATGTATATTCATTGAGAAGGCTCTAGATAGGCCTGCCAATCTCCATTCTGATTTTCTCTTTCATCTTCACCTTCCATCTTTCTATCAAGTTATTTAACAGATATTCATTGACAGCCTATTGTGTGTTAGGACTGAAAGACGAATGAAATAGACATGATGCCTGAAGCACAATCTGTGGTGCCCCTGCCCATATCCCCTTGGGCCATCTCATTATAATACAGGATGGCCCAACTTCTAATGGCCCTAAGGGTTTCTCTGGCTGACAGGCGTGATCTCCCAACCAGAGTATCCCTGAAGAGCTGGAAAATTAACCCCTACCCTAGCCTAGTGAGCTGTGCTCATCCAGGGATTAAAAAGAGTTGGTTTATTAAACACCCCACCCTCATCCCTAAGAGCAGGTGGGAAGCTCTGAGATGTGTGCATGTTCTACACTGTCTCCAAGTTTCCCAGCAGGGCTGAGCTCCAGCTGCCCACAGAGGTACACATGCCTTGAACACATGCCTCTCTCAGGGGCTGCCTTCTAGTCTCTGTTCCACTTTCCTGGGCCACTACCCATGCTTCTTGGGATAACCTGCAAAAATAAAGCCTTCTTTCAGGATCTTCTTTGGGGGAAACCTAAACTAAGATAGTCCCTAACAGCATGGGGTTATATCCTATTAAGCATAATCGAATCATTATTCAACAGCC